AGAAGTAAGGTTAGGGGCCCCCCAGTAGCGTCCTTGCTCCTAGTAGCAAGGCCAGGAGCCCCTAGCAGTAGCATCCTTGCTCCTAGTAGTGAGGCCAGGAGCCCCTAGTAGCGAACATTGCTCCTAAGCCTTCACATGATTGATTTGGGGACGACAACTTTGGATCCTCAGGCTTGCACTTCAACGACAGTGTTCCCAAGCGTCTCGCAGGTGCTCGCAGAGACGTACAAGTCGCTTGCAGCATAGGCAATGCGAAGGTCTTCAGCACCAAGCATGCCTTCCGGGTTTGTCCAACCATCCGTATGACAGAGTAGAGTTTGCAAATGCATGTGCAAAGCCGTGCAACTACTGACTACGTCCTGCTCTGCCTCTTTGTGGGAGCACATTTCGCCTGACACTGGCCTGAACGGAGTGCCCACAATTCGACTTCCTGGAGTTAACATGAATTAAAATAGCATGGTCAACACAAGAAACTTAAGAAGCTTCAACCAGCCTCGATTTCATCTGCGTAGTCTGCGTCACTGTCACCGACAATGACAAGGCCACAGTCTTCGGGTATAGCATCAACAAGCAAGTGGATTCGCTTTTCTGCGGACCACCTTCCCGCAAAAAGGAAAATTGCTTTTGGGCAAAACCCAAACCTATCGATCCAACAAGCCCTTTGGCGGGATGCAGCATCCAGCAAATCATCTAAGGGCCGACGAAACTCATCGGACCAAAGAACAGGTGGCCAAACGCAGTGAACTGGGACTGCGTATCGCTCCCAAAGCGACTTGGCATAGACGCTTGCCACCGTCGCATGAACAGTTGCAAAGAATGCCGAGGCCAAATGAAGCCACCAAAGGATCTTCATCAACATGGATTCCTGGTACATTGGATGCGATGGTACATCTGAGTGGGTTGTGGCGATACTTGGAATACCAAAGCTTCGCAAGAGCATGATTGGAGCTATTCGCAAGCAACTGTCATCAAGGAAGCAGACGTCGTGGCCTGACCAAAGCACCGCCGGGAGTGAGTCTATGCGTGCCTTTGCCTACACCATTGCTGCATTGATGAACCATGATGAACCTACCAGCAAATGGCAGGTGGTTGACACTAGTTACTGATATGGATTTTTAGAACGAAAGCACATCGCTGCCTCTCTTGCCCGCTAGGAGCCGCAAGAAGATCACAGTGTTCGTGATGGAAAAAAAGTCCATGAAAGCAGCGACCCCGATGTTGCTGGATGCTTCAACAGCTCCAACAGGAGCATAGACAAGCTGCCCATTCAGTAACCATCTCCTTGAACATGGACAGTGCCCAATTCTTTCAAAGTGGACAAAGCTTAAGGCTGCACTTGTTGCCATCGAATCTATTAAGCCATAGTGCAGATTCTCTCCAGGTAAGGTTCTCAGAAGGTGATTGCTGATTACTCAAAAATATGTGTCTCCCGTATACCCTGGTGGCGTCTGTGAATAGGAAGCGCTAGTGTATGACATGTCAACAGAAACAAATGAAAATGGTCACAAGTCTGCTGAGGTGACATCTCCCAACAGTTACTGTATTCAGGTTGACTCTGAAGCTGAGCTGCGCAACATCGTCTTCACCAGACTCTTGGATGTTTACAGGTGTCAGCAAGGTCACCTCCCAACCAAGGCCATCTATCAGCGCCCGGCAAAGAGCCAAGTAGTCTTTGGCGACCCCTCCGGCCTGCACCGGACTGTATTTCTTGGCTTGCTCAGCAAACATGGCAGGTCACAAGAAACTTGTGCGAACAAGACAGTTCGTGACACGAGAGGTTCTTTTGGCTTCTTCCGATCTGACCATGCTAACCTGCTTCAGCAGTGGCGGGAACGCTTGTGCGCAAACCAAAGCACGCGGCATGGCGGCAAAAGATAAATCTCTCAAAGTATGTCCAATTTGTTACAACCTTGAGATGGGATGATAAGGGGATTCATGTTGAAGTAAGAGCTGAAACAAATGTAAGTTTGTCTGTCATGGCTTGTATCTGATAATGGGTGGCAGCTGGTACTCAAACTGAACTGTGGTTCCACATGTAAATCATGCAACAGCATGGTCCCTCCTGGTTCTCTGGTCTGGTGGGGACATGCAGTCCGATCTACACAGTGTCTTATAAGCCCAAGCCAAGCCCGGTGTGATTCTTGCAAACAAACTGCTTGTATGTCAACCATGTGTACATCAATATCCAGTGATGACAGCTTCCACGCAGTTTGCTTGAAATATGAGACTCCATGTACGTGTGCAAAAGGGATCAAACGGATTGAGACCTTTTTACCTGGCGATAGGGATTAAAGTGGGTTTGCCTGTGCTCACTACTGTGTCAACAGGTCACCACGAACCAATTAGGAAAGGGCGACCTCGTGACATCGATGAAATCAATGACAATAGTGCACAAGTTCTGTAATCGATGCCCCTCGCCCAGCTGTCAAGCCATGCAAAAGCAAAGAACACTATAATATAGCTACTAGTAGTTTCTTGCTACTAGTAAGGCGAGGAGTCTGTCTGGAAAACAGATCGACAACAGCGTGGCTTACAGGGAAAGTCTTCAAAGGGCGCTTGTGCGCACGTCCTTGAAAATTGTAGGAGAATACCGCTGACTCACAGGAAAACACCTGCCAAGAAGCACACCCAATGCAACAAAAAAGCTGCAGCTGTCAAGTTGAGGTAGCAGGGAGTGAACGAAAGGTAGCAAGGTTGCAGGAAAAGGGCGGCGGCATCAGCAGCAGCAGCTGCAGCTGTTGCTTCAGCTGCAATAACTGGCCACAGCAAATGCAAAAAAGCATCACTATGGCTATTGCAATTGGAAGCGCCTCAACTGCTTCACATGTTCCAATTTGCAAAGAAGTCATTGCCTCAGCCAGAAATCACCATCTTGAGCCAGCGCACCAAACACTGACAAAGGGTTCGTTTTTTAGTATTGGTCTTGAACCACGCGTTGGTGTCTTGACGATAAAGTATGATAAAGCGCCGCAAACCTGCTTGTGTTACTACCAGTATGTTGTGTCATCTGCATATTCTTCTTTGGCAAAGCGCCTTTGTCATCAACCAGAATGAAAGCCGGGAAGTTCTCCACCTAGCATGAAGATGCATCAAGTCAAAGTCTTTGAAAGAGCTCTTCAGTGCTTCCATGCACCTCGATTTTCCACACTGCTTCCATACCAAGCTCCGGAAATTCCAGCACCTCATGCGACACAGACTTGGCCACGAGACTCTACATCAGTAAACACACAACTGGTTCAAGGAACTGTAGAGCTACAATCAAATTGATTCGACACTCTGAGAACCTCGTTTCTGTCCAAATGATTCGCCTCAAACTTGCAGCATTGACTGACTACTCAAGCTGCCTCCACCTTCTTGATGCAATCTTCAGCTAGAACTGCAGCAGCACCACCCACGCTTCCAAGGTAGAAGCCGCCATACTGCTTGCAAGAATCAGTGACCTGCGAGTAGAGTTGGTAAACACGTGGGTATCGACACTGTACCGGTTGCACAGTTCAAGCATTTCCCAGAGCCTGTTTGGACCGATTGCCTTTGGCAAGAGTCACCTCCGGAGAGCAACCCTGCTTATGAAGCTACTAGTAACAAGGCACCTTACTACTAGAAGCAAGAAGCCACAGGGACTCCTGGCCTTGCTACTAGGAGCAAGAAGCTACTAGGGGCTCCTGGCATCGCTACTAGGACGAAGGACGCTACTAGAGGCTCCTCGCATCCCTACTAGGAGCAAAAGGGCTACTAGGGGCTCCTGGCATCGCTACTAGGAGCAAAAACGCTACTAGGGTCTCCTGGCTACTAGAAGCAAGGACGCTACTAGGGGCTCCTCGCATCGCTACTATAGGAGCAAGGACGCTACTAGGGGCTCCTGACATCGCTACTACTAGGAGCAAAAACGCTACTAGGGGCTCCTGGCATCGCTCTTACAAGCAAGGACGCTACTAGGGGCTCCTGGCCTTACTACTACAAGCAAGGACGCTACTAGGGGCTCCTGGCCTTACTACTAGGAGCAAGGACCCTACTAGGGGCTTCTGGCATCGCTACTAGGAGCAAGGACGCTACCAAGGGCTCCTGGCCTTACTACTAGGAGCAAGGACTCACTAAGGGCTGGCATCGCTACTAGGAGCAAGGACGCTACTGGGGGGCCCCTAACCTTACTTCTAGGAGCAAGGACGCTACTTGGGGCTCCTGACATCGCTTCTAGGAACAAGGACGTTACTAGGGGCTCCTGGCCTTACTACTAGGAGCAAGGACGCTACTAGGAGCTCCTGGCATCGCTACTAGGAGCAAGGACGCTACTAGGGGCTCCTGGCCTTACTACTAGAAGCAAAAAGCTAATGCCAAAGAACTCTCTGCGCTTCTCAGCTCCCGGCCAAAGAAGCTCCATGAGGCTGCCACATTGGAACGTAGGTGTCCATTCCTTGGGCAGTTGGATTCAGGTACATTGAAGTCTTCTACCTTGGAAATCTAAAGATTCATAAAAATCATGGTTTCAAGGGTCAGAGCTGGTAGAAGCTCTACTTTCACATCGCCCGCAAATATATTTTGACCAACCCTTTCATGCTGCAGTCTGAAGTTTTCCAGAGAGAGATGCGGCCAGCAGTTGTAGGACCAAATGAGCCAGAAGCAAATCCTGCCGGTGTCCTGGTTCCACACGATGCCACAAGAAACATGAGTTAACGGACCATCTGCTTTGCAAACTCATCGGTTAGCAATCTTCACGCTCAGGTGCAGGCTTGGCTGGCCCAGCGTAGTAGATTGGATGGTCCTGGCCCAAAACAGTAGATTGACTCACGCGTGCTCAATGTCAAAAGTGTAGATTGTGGGCCTTGACGTACTGTGGAAGCTTCCCTGTCTCTTCAAAGAGCTCACTGATCTTCGCATGGGCAATATCTCTGGCAACAATGAGGGGACCTGCCAGCAGGGCAAGGATGAGAGCCACAAGGGAGTCGCCATATTCCAAACATTCGTGAGTCTTGCACACCTGTCAGGGAGACTCGGGTCTTGATGGGATACCTGGTTTCAAGTATCAAGTCTCTGTGTTTCTTCAGGCTGTTGTTTTTTGTTGGCTGAGCATGTGGCTTTGTGAGTACTGCCAATATATCTTTCATGGGCTGCTGCAAGCTGATAGAAACCACCTGCAACGTTGACAGCAAGTTTGCAGCCAAAAACTTGGCAACTCCAAAATAACATGTTTGACACAGAAAATCAAGCAGCTGTTCCAACCTGTTCAGAAAGGCCTTCCACAGGTCCAGATGGCAAATATTGTGCCTTGCACAATCAAGTCGGGAATTTGTTGCTGCAGGATCGTGAAGGATCATGCAGGATCAGTCATCTTACTGCCGTGTGAGTATGGAAGCCATGAAAACCCACGGACTTGCAAATGAGCAAACCCTTTCTCTTTGCTTGCAGCGAACTATTATACATATATTATATTATTATTTTTTATGTATTATATATATATATCAATTCTTATGTATGTTTACTTTCTTCCTGTGAGTTGCCTAGTGACATTACAGAAGTGTTGCCTGGGCAGTGTTGTCACCGTGACTGAGTTTGAGATTCTTGATGGAGAAGCACATCATAGAACCTAAATACCAAGGTGCAGGATTGTGCTCCAACTCCTCCACGAAAACGCCTTCCGCTGTGATCTTGGCCAGGATCCTGGTGTCAACTGCGCAAACGAGGAAGGAAAATCGAATGACAATTGAAAACAATAAAAATAAATAAACATCGAATATTTGTGAGTTTCGGTAGATTGCCGCTGGGTCGTCAGCTGTCGATCAGCACTGCAAGAGACGCCAAGGCCAGCTGGGCAGGATGCACCATGCCTGAGCAAACACTTCTGCATCGATTTTTCCCCAAACTGTGTGGTCAATCTAATGGTTCTTACGGTACAGTAGTGGTTAAGGCCGGGTGTTCGCTGCTATTTACGGTCGGTGTGTGGATTTATTCGTGGCAGGCGCAGCAATTTGGACATGGTGGTGCTCTTCGGTGTGCTCTGATTTCGTAGCAGGTGCACTGAAACATGACCCTTGGACATGTGGTTCATTTTCAAAAAATCGGGCGAAGCCTCGAGCGAAAGCTGCGTTTTGGAATTTTGATATTGTCGTTAACGCTTTGGCAAGGCTGCGCTATGTAAGTATTGATGCGCAGATTTCGTGGCAGGCGCAGCGCTTTGTGAACCTCGAAGTGCAGATTTCATGGCAGGCCTCTAGGCCATTAGACCTCGAACTCTTGATAACTTTGGGCCTCAACACCTCCAGACCTACGTCTGCCTCTCAAAAACCTCTCCGGATCTCAACAGTTCTACGCCTCCACACTTGCAGATCTCCTGGTCTCTCAGTCTGAGACTGCTACACCTCCAGACCTCTAGACCTTTAGAATTCTTGTAGTAACAGGTGCCACGCTAGTAGTAACAAGTGCCTTACTAGTAGTAACAAAAAAGCTATTAGAATTAACAATTAAGTAAATTTAATAGCTTCTTGCTACTACTAGTAAGGCACCTGTTACTACTAGCGATGCACTTGTTCCTAGTAGCTTCTTGTCTATATTGTAGATCTCTGGACCTCAAGACCTCTCTGGATCTCTCTAGGCCTCTCAATCTCCACACGTGCAGATTCATCTGGATGGCAAAGGCCTTTAAACCTCTAAATCTCTCTCAATCTCAAGACCTCCAGAACTCTAGATATCTCTGGAACTAAAAACTTTAGACCTCCAAATCTCCAGGCCTCTAGACCGCCAAATACTTGTGGATCTCTCGGCCGTTTAGATCTTTATAGACCTTTGGACCTCTAGAGACTCTAGAGCTCTGGACGGATCTCAAGACCACTCATCTAACTTCGAGAAGTAGATCTCTAGGCCTTGAGACCTTTCTAGACCTTTAGATCTCTCTAAACGGATCCCAGGGCCTCTAGTCTCTTGACATATCTGAATCTCAAGACCTCTCTAGATCTCCAAATCCCTCGATCTTGTAGGCAGTTAAATCTTTCTAGACCTTTAGATCTCTCTAGATCTCAAAACCTCAAGTCCTCTAGACCTCTGGATCTCTAGACCTTCTGCTTCCACACCTCTAGACCTTGGACCTCTGGACCTCAAAACACTTGTTGGGGGTCTCTTGCCAGGAGTATTTTTGCTATTGTTATATAATTATGTGTTTTTGCACGCACCTAAGTAAGGGCTGGTCACTAGTAGCTACTGGACGCAGGATAGCTCACCCTTCTTCAAGGAAGCTCCTCCAGGGCGGCGGAAGGGAGCTTCCTTGAAGAAGCACTAGCACTAGCACTATTCATTTGGTTTCTAGATGTTTGCTAGGAGCAAGGACGCTACTAGGGGCTCCTGGCATCGCTACTAGGAGCAAGAAGCTACTAGGGGCTCCTGGCCGTACTACTAGGAGCAAGGACGCTACTAGATGCTCACAGCTGATCACACTGAGCCCTGGACCGTGGGAGTCTCACAACCCGTGCCTAAGAAGAACACCCAAACATCATATGTATGAGGGCTTTGCGTCGTGGTTCTGTGACCCACACTCTCTTGGACCCCAGCATCATGAGCGAAGTACTTCCCACCAAACTGGGCTCCCACCCCCAAATCTTGACAAATCTTCAGCACTTTTTCCTGACGGTCAAGAACATAATTGACAGGGAATGGTCTTCATGTTCCTGTTGTGTTTGACAAGCCCTTTTCAATGCCATGTATCTATTATTTATATAGTATAATATATAACATAATCACATAATAGTATGCCACTTCTAAATTCCATGTAATCTCATACATCCATGAACCGTTTATATCTTCCTCAAAGCAATGCCACTGTTCCTCTCAACCTCTTTCAACCTTCCATGGCACCTCCCATTCCAGGTCACGGAAAGCTCGGCCACTGTCGCTGCCCGAGGTCGGGAGGTCATCGTAGTACCTCCCAAAGAGTCAAAGCGTCTGTCGCGTCAGCCCAAGCGTATGCTGAACAGCTGAGAGGCGGATCAAAAAGCTGCAACGCGAGCTGCAACAGCTAAGCAGCTTTTAAGTTGATTTATTTGATGTTCCAAATGGAAAAATAGACAACCGTTTGCACCTGTCCCAAACGAAGTAGACTGCGACCACAACTCAACAAAAACAAGCAAGAAAACTGTCCTTGAGGGCAAATAACAGCTTAGCACAAAATCAAAAATCCTGCAGCACCTGGCACTTGCAAGCTTAACGGTCTTCAAGCAAGTTTCAGCCTTGGCATGAAAAGAGTGCAAAGTCACTGAACCAGAAGCATTGGAGCTGCTTTTTGTGTGTCCTCGTCACTGGGTTTTCTCACATTCAATTCCACATCTCAGCACCCTGCTGAGGTCCCTCCAATTACCAAGGCAACATGGTAAGGTGGGCAAGCACTTGTGCCCAGAGTCTGCCTTGGAATTGAAATGCTCGTCTCAAGCTTCTCCGGCTCAAGTCAAAGCAAGTGGTTCGACTTGAATAGCTGTGCCGAAGCCCAAGCAGTTTTTCTTTGATGAACGCTTCCAGCTTCTTTGGATTCAGCAAGGCCTCCGGCTGCAGATTATCAAATCCCTTTTCTCTCGAACACTGGTTTAAAAGGAGTGAAATCAGCAGCCCAGTCTTCTCTCATTAATTCTTCCTTTCTTGGTAGCGTTTGCTACCATTTCGTGCCTTGGTTTGCTGGTACAAGTAGGTCTTGTTCGCAGATCCGCCGCCTTTTGCCATAAAAAGGAACCTCATTCAAGACCCGATCACTGTAGTACTGTTGGGATCGAAAGAAAACTATGCGTCGCAAAGCTAGACAGAAGGGGCTCTAAGCCTCAAGCTCATATTTGGCTTCAGAGGTCGCCAAAAGGTCAATCTGCGCTGGCAGATTGCACCTGCGAAATCGAAAACACAAAACAAGGAGTCAACTTGTCTCCTTGGCATGACCACTCTGCTGACTTTTCATATAATCGATGTTCTCTTCTCAAACAAGACAGCCATAGCTCAGGCAAGAGCTTTGTGTTCTTCTCTGCAAACATTGTGACAGGAGCCATTTGCGAGTATCGCAGATTCCTTCAGGTCAGCTCAAATCATCTATATAATCAGCCAGATTAATCAGCAGTGCTTTGCTTGTTCTGAACAAGTACCAGGAACGCAGTAGCCTCTTTGTGTAAGCATCGTAGACGCCCCCAGATAGCTGCTCTTCATCGTCGCCAGCAGTGAATACACTCATTCCACGCCTCAGCCAAAGTTTTTGCCGCCTACACATTGCAATCATGGAGCTCCAAATAAGATGCCAGCTTCCCCATTACAATGGCAGTGCCCGTGTCCTTTCCAAGGAAAGTTGGAAACGGACAGTTTATGCAGCGGCTTTGTATCTTCAGTGAGTGCAGGAGGATCTTGGGTGAGCATCAAAGGAGGCGAGAATGGATTCTTATCAACTCAAACTTCTTTTGGCAAGCATTTTGGCAAAACCCATTTTGGCAAGTACGCTTCTTCTCAATTGTCTTGTCCATGCCTGGCATCCGGGAAGCTGCCCTCCGCTAGCTTTCACAGCATTCCTCACAGCTCAGATGGACCCAAAACGAACCCTCCGTTTGTGTCAAACAAGTCAAAAAGGAGTTTCCCTTTGTATAGGAAAACCATGTAAAACAAGCAATGGCTGAAGCCGATACTGTAGGAGATTGTGCGCTGTGAAGCGATCATTTGCTGAAGCCTGACAAAAAGGATGACATCCAGGGGAAGGGATTTGATCTCACCAAAAACGTGTCTATGTCAGTCCATGTCTCCACAGCCTCAGGATCTGTGAGAATCTTTCCAAGCTGTGCAAGGTGACCCGGCCGAAGAAAGTGACCTCAACCAAAATGAATGTGTTCATGGTTTCACCTGCTTACAAAGCTCACGAAGGAAAAAGACACAAAACTGCCAAAGTTGAGAATAGCCCTATGGACCCTAATTAAGCAGCAGCTTAGGCTTGAAGGCCAGGACTGATCTCGGTGATGCAATGTTCGGCCAGCTGACGCAAGACCCAGGGCCTCAAGAGTGACAATCCATGATTTTGTTCGTCAACATCGCCCAATTCATTGACGTGTTGCTGCAAGATTTGGGGCAGTGGCTCCACTGTGATGATCTTCTTGGCAGCTCCACCCACCTGAAGAGTCACAATACTGCATGCCAACAAAAACAAAAACGGGCAAAGGACACAATGTCACAACACACACCAGAATGCATTCTGCTTGAGTCCTAGTTGTCCGCACAGTTGAAACAGGACTATCGGACTATCAGGATCGTGTGCCTTGACCTCTTCGGTAGCGATTCCAGCGCTCAAGGACTCCACTTTCTGCAAGAATGCTATGTTGTCACTGAAATGATTCATTGGGAGGCTGCAGCTAAGGGCTTAGAATTGAAAGTTGTTTCTCTGCTTGCAATTTCACCTTTTGTTCCTAAACTCCGTAGAACAGAAACATCTACACCCAACATCCTCGACTCTGCCTTGTAGGGAACATCGACAGGGTTGGCGTGCTGGAACATGGGTTTGTACCTGCATGTTGCTTATATAGTATATCATGTGTGGCTGTTGCATCCTGAGATTGTGAGTCCCCTATCGCTTTCCAATGTTTCGGAACCTTGTTGAGGGTACCACTCCCCAAGCAGTGTGGACACACTGAGGGGTTCTTACGGTAGTAGAAAAGCAGCTGATGCTTAGATCGCTGAAGCGCGCTGGCGTGACCGGCTAATTCGCTGCTATTTACAATACATTCATGCCTCTCAAAATCCTCGAGGTCCATTTCAACTGCGCAGGCTCACAAAATCTGCCTGCCGGCGGCGGGTGCTTCTAGCGACTGCGCTCTCGTTGTGGTGCCATGTGCATTTTCGCACATGGTGGTGACTTTTCGTGGCAGGCACCTCGTGCTTTGGTGCTCCAAAGCCGACTTTTCGTGACAGGCGCAAGGGATCGGAGCTGTTTTGCTTCGAAATGCAGTTTTCGTGGCAGGCGCAGCCCTTTGGACATGGTGGTGATCGTCGAGGGACTCAGATTTAGTGACAGGTGCAGTGAATCGTGACTTTTGGACATGTGGCTCGTTTGCAGATTTCGTGGCAGGCACAGCACTCTGTGACCCTCAATGTGCAGATTTCGTGGCAGGCGCAGCACTTTTGCGAACCTCGAAGTGCAGATTTCGTGGCAGGTACAGCGCTTTGTGAACCTCAAAGTGCAGATTTCGTGGCAGGCCAAGCACTTGGTTAACCTCGAAGTCTAGATTTCGTGGCAGGCACAGCACTTGGTGAACCTCGAAGCGCAGATTTCGTGGCAGGCAAAGCAGTTTGTAAACCTCGAAGTGCAGATTTCGTGGCAGGCAAAGCACTTTGTGAACCTCAAAGTGTAGATTTCGTGACAGGCACAGCACTTGGTGAACCTCAAAGTGCAGATTTCGTGGCAGGCGCAGTACCTCGAAGTGCAGATTTCGGCGCAGGCGCAACACTTTGTGACGCTCACTCTCTCACTCTCTCACTCTCACTCACACGCTCACACTCACACGCACTCTTCACTCACACTCACATTCACATTCACATTCACACTCACACTTGCACTCACTCTCACTCACACTCGCACTCACACTCACTCTCACTCTCACTCACCCACTCTCACTCACCCACTCTCACTCTCACTCTCACTCTCACTCTCCCACTCTCCCACTCTCACTCACACCCACTCTCACTCTCACCCACACTCACTCACACCCACCTTCACTCTCACTCACTCTCACTCACACTCACTCTCACTCACACTCACTCTCACCGTCACCACGATCCCCACCTTCATCACCCCCAATGCGTCTAGATCTCTAGACTTTCTGATTATAGACCTCACACACACTGTTTGGGGTCTCTTGCCGGGATAATTTTTTTTGTTTGAGCCCCCAATCGTTTCCCAGGGTTTGTAGCGTGCCCGCATATGAATGCGACGCTCTTGTGCAATCGTAATCATTGCAATGCTTGAAGGCACTTCATATTAAATATATATATATACTTTTTTGTAATATATATATAATTGTAGATATAACATTATATATAACTAATAACGAAGCCAGCATAAAGCCAGTCAACGTGGTGAGAAGGTCGGGGCACTCAAACTTCACATCCGGGACAAGATCCTCAACCTGAAGGAATTCTTCCCTTAACTGGAACCGCTTCCGCTTCTGTGATTGCAGCCGCTTCTTACTGTGATTTCATTGATGGGCATCTTGTTCGCAAGCCTCCTTGCCACCCTTGTCGCATCCGCAATTTCCGCATGAATCCTTTGCCTCAGCAGCACATTATACTTGAAGGAACTCACAAAAATTCAACTAGAGTCAACCTGGTGAGAAAGATTCACCAAGACATGCGAACACTGTATCAAAACCTTCAGGCTGCCCTCCACGAGGGTAGGAAAAGCAAGAATGTGCCAGCAAAGACTCAGCAGCAAGCATAGCCAGTTGCCTGACCGTTCCGAATTCTCGAATTCAGATCGTCTCTCACCAGATGGCAGCTTAGGCTGACACCTCTGCCATGCTGTTGGGAACTGTTGGAATCGCGCAAAGACTCTCTTGTCACAAGTAGGATCAAACTGAAGTTGGTCTTGCAGAGATGCGAATGAGAGAATGCATCGAGGCATGCAGCACTTAAAACCTGTGAGCCAAAGGGATCGATCACAGCAATTCATCTGACGCAGGGCCCATGCAGAAATTGCCACAACAGAATGAAGTGAATGGGAATGCCACCTTTTCAACACGAAGCGGTTCGCCTGTGCCCGCGAACACCCCGCAAACTGCAAGTCATCTACTTTGCGGTGAGAAACAAGCCATGAAGTGCCTCCATCACCAGCCCATCACTGGTGCATAGCCTCATAAACATCTCCCAAGATCTCCTAAGAATCTAAAACTTGGAATCGCCTATGCCATCTGTGCCCTCGACCCACCAGTGAGTCGATGCATTGCCGCATGCTCGAAGCCTGAAGAAGACACTCTGAAGCTGAACCCTGACATTGCCCCAAACACAAGCGTCGCTTGCTTCAAAGGACGTGGCTGATGTCTCTTTGCTGCACTGTCGCAACCCAGCCCGATCCACTGTGCCGAATGCAACTTCGCACACCTGTCAGTTGTTCTTCTGTTCTGAAGATTGGATCATCCAACTGTGCAGCACATTGATCACATGCCTTTGTGCCAGCAGTAGATGTTGCAGATGCCGACCTCGGGACATATGCTCACTCAGCAAATGATAAGGAACCCATGCAACAATAAGCAGGTCCTGGGGGGCAGGTCGATGCTAGCTCCGCCCAAGCCCCAGGCAAGTGGAGAGTGCCGCTAATGTCTTCACCAATTGTAGACAAGTACCTAGTCACATCATAAGTCGAATCGCCAGGCTTGTTTGTGAATCGTTGAAGGTAACGGTGATGTTCTGAAAGAATGATAAACAATGTGTTTTCAGCTGAGCACTCCATGGGCTGTCGCTCACTGTTTTGCCTGGCACACTTGTTACATGCTTAATTTTGAACCACTCCCTGCACACAAAAAATGTGAAGCCAGGTCCACGAAAACAAATGAGCAGCTCTTGCTGCTAGGAGCAGTGTCGCCTCGATCAACACCCTCTGCAAACTCTCATATCTGCTTGAAGACTTCTGTTTCCGACTAATCTGAAAATACACCGCTGGAGGTCATCGCCATTAGGTTGGAGGCCATCGCTAGGCCATTGAAGCGTTTCTTCAGCAACTCTGTGAGTTCTTAATGTTTGACTGCACTCAAATGGGAACGATCTACCTTGAATATTGAATACTGGGCGTCAAACAACGAGGAAAAGCAGCCCTTGGATGAGGCAGACCAAATCAGGTCATCATACAGCGCAGCGGAGCAGCATGATTTTTAGCAAAGCTTTGTGGATTCCAGAAGCGACTGCATGCTGGGGGACGAACGAAGCGCCCTGCATGCTCGTGCAGCTAGACTTCTTTGCTTCATGCCTTGGTGCTAAGAAACAAAAAAACATGCTATGGAATACAACTCAAATACACTTACACGATTGGTACTGCGCACACTTCATCCTTTGCTTGAACTGCTCATAAGCGACACTCTGTAGCATGGGTGCTGTGGAAAATACTTTGGTTGGTCAGTTGCTCTGCTACGTTCGTCCAGGCGAGTTGCTCTCTAGATCTTTTCGAAGGTCTTGAGCTGCTGCTCGACCTATTGAAGCTAAAAGTTATCAATCATCTCTAACTCTACTCAGACAAGGAAAGGCAAATTTGAACTGCGTGAGCCCACCTCGAACTGTTTTCAGTGACATGTCCATGAGTCTGGATCCTCGAGAAGGCCGAGAAACTTTCAAGTTGCGTCGCCAACGTTTTCCAATCAGCATTCAATTCCAGCTTAGGGTGCTGCGAACTCTGAAATCTCGCACAAAGTTTCCTGCTGTTGACTTGTCCTGACTGTGGTGATGAGAGCTTTCAAGCTTGCCAACCCCAAACAATTGACCAAAATACCTCATCTCAAGACCTAAAAAACTAAAAAAAAAAAACTCCTGGGACGTGATAATTGTCCAAATTTTCAGTGTCCAGTGCTAGTTTGTGTGTTACCCAGGCTCTTGCCTCGAAGCACAAAGAATATGCCTGGCTGCAGTACAGCCATCACGCAACCGATCGACAGCTCATTGCATCTCATAAAGTTGCAAAAAGTGCCAAGCCACAGCTTTCATGGAAGGACCCTTCAAGATGTAGGACACTGCGAGTCCTTCATCCTGCAATCCCCACAATGCTGGTCACAACAAGTCTCATGTTTGACATATCTTGACAGACTGCTCAACGAGTCCTCTTCTTCTTGCCTTATGCAAAAGGGTGTGGCTGAGGCTAGCTTGTATGCTCGCAGGCTGACAGGTGCTGGCCTTGTCAGTGTCATCTCCGGCGATATAGTAAAGCTTTGGCTAGGCTTTGAGTCCTTGTGAAAATGAAAGAAACGAGGTACAAAGAAGAGAGTGAGGATGATGCAAAGGTGGCTGCACACGGCAAACGAACCCAAACAAAGAACTGAATACAAGATCGCTGCAAGAATCTGCAGGAGCATCTTTGTCAGCAGTGAGACGACAAATTCGATTGACAAGTCTGAACCTTTAACTCGTATTGAGTACATTGAGACACATTGTAGGTCACAGAATCATAGAGACTGCTGCTCTTCTGTACACCGCAAATTGGATTTGCGTGACTCTTGCAGTGACCAATTCCATGTTACCCAAACGATCAAACCTCACATTGCTGGAACGGGCTCGCTCGCTTCAAAGGGAGGCTCAGGTTTGACCACAGGACCAGGGACCATGCCAACCACGCTGCTCCGGATGGAATTCAAGAGGCAACTGGCTTGGTAAATGAGGTGCTCCACGTGTGGCACAACGCTGTAAAGCTCATCGATGGTAATGTTCCGCAGGTTCAGTTCTGCTTCTGCTCTCAGCTCTGCTTCTTGCTTCTCTGCTTTCTCCGCTTCCTGCAGCTCCTCTTCACTCAAATGCTCTGCACAGACCGCAGCAGAAGGTGGCACGAGATCTCGCAAGCCCGCTTGCAGGTTTGACGCCCCAACCACTAGCCGAGGAAGTGACATATTCATCATAGCCAGTGCCTCAACATGTATACCCTGAAAACAAACCCGCACACCGATTGTTCCATGTTTATCAGCAGTCAGAAACACACGAAAGCCTTCACCTGCCCAGGGTCTTGCCTCCTCAACAGTCTGTGGCGGAGGTGGTCGGAATGGGGGCCCATCGCCATGCCCCAAGGCAAAGGCCCACTTTTGCACCTTGCAATGGCAATTGTTTAAAGAATAAATGCGCAAAAATGTCGAATTCTATGAAAGCCAAGGTGCATTGTAGCTCGCAGCCTGCATCCATGTCTCACAATTCAAAGGGCAAAGACAGCAGGGGCAAAGGGCAATTTAAATCTGCCTGGACTCCATAGGACAGCTTGATCATCTCCTCGTCTTGTGTTGGTGTGAAGTCTGAGCTCTGGCGAGTGAGCGATTGATGCCTCACGGGCAGCATGCCCCACTAGTAACAAGGGCATCGCTACTAGTAGCAAGGGCATCGCTACTAGTAGCAAGAGCATCGCTACTAGTAGCACGCATGTGCTTTCTTTTTCGTATCCTGGGGTGGGGGCTTACGCCAGGCCGTGAGGTAAGTATGGAGGGAGTCGCTACTAGTTACTAGTAGCTGGGACGCAGGAGGGCTCGGGCTCAATGATTTGGTTCCTAGATGTTAGAGGAAACTTAACTTGGATGGTGTCTCTACGATCTCGGGTCAAGTGTGTGAATTGTACACAGGGGGCACTACGCCCAAGTTTCCCAGCAGGAAAGTCAAAAAAGGGAAACACGTCCGATGTCCGGAAGTCCTCATATTCAAAACACAAGAAAAGCGACGACAACAACAACAAATATATATATATATACATTGTCAAAAATGATCAAACATGAGGGAATACAAACTCATGGCCTGTCCACCAGAAGGGTTGCTGCTTGCGCAATGGCACTCTGCAAGCGCTGAGCGAACTGGCGAAGTGGCACTCGGGTTGCAGCACCTGGCAACGTGATCAGGTGAATACTTCCCCGTGCGCTCAGTAAGGCATATTTCCTTCCCAAACAGCGTACCAGAATCAAACTATCTGGTACTAGTACAGCTCAATTGTGCGTCGTTGACGCTCTTCATTGCTTCGATCCTGGTCTGGCTTTGTTTTCTTGCTCGGAAAGTGCTGACAACTTTGCATTCAGCCTGCATCTGCTTGCGATATGGGCCCACCAAACTCCAGCTTCGGGCCCTCTGTGCAAAACCGACCTGCCATTGAAACAAAACACCCAAACACCCAGACCAAGCATCAAATCCTCTCACCACCAAGCTCTGGACTTGCCTGCAGTTTCCTCGTTGGGAGGCATCAGGGCACTTCCAAAGAAACCAGAAAATGCTCCCTCTGGTAGCGGCATCAGCTTTGGGCTGAGGGCATCCTGAGGATACTCTTGTTGGACAGGGCAGTTCCAAATGGATGTTGATCTGATGGCAGGCGCCGCTTCAGTCGCTACTGCAAATGAATCCCTTCAGTTGCGGGATACGTGGAGCCTGGTTCCCAAGGCCCTAAAGGGTAAAAGAGGTGGATGCACACACCACGGGATCAAAGGGGATGCGTGACCACAGCTCAAGGGCCCTATGGCGTCGGGAAACATAGGGTCAGTGGTCATGAACGCATGCCGAGATTGCACGCCCAACTATCTTTAAATTCGTGAGATTCCGGGGTGTCCTGGGGATCGATCAACTTAAGTGCAATCCTGCCATGGCCCAAAATTCCACGAAGCAAATGCGTCGGCTTCTGCTTCGTCAGATGGTCTGCTAGCTGGTGGTGGGTGTCAACCCACTTGTACACTTCAGCAAGCCGCTCCATCTGTTCGTCAAATTCGGCAGCCGTCTCTTTGAGACCTCCAAGGTCTATCGCCAAGCGCTTCTCCTGAGTCGTGGAGAGCGAACCATCATCCTTGGTGAGCAGGTCGTACAGAGGCTCCTGCAGCTGCAGCCATCGGCAGACGGAAGCCGTCCGGACTGAGAGGGGACGTAGCCGAAGACCAAGGCCTCCGCGAAGATCTCCCGGACATAGAGTCCAGCATCCACTGCAGCATCGAGACCCATCCTCTCGGCGGCCAGCGTCGACCTGCACTGTCTCTTTATCTTGTGGCTTCTCCAATCCATCAGGCTTGCCAAGCCACCAGCAGCTTCTAAAGCGGCATCCTCGGCCACGAAGACCAGGTATAGCCGGGCTGAGAGGGGAGGCCTTCGCCGTTGGCGAAGCTGGCATCGGAGTAGACGATGATGCGAGCTCGCTCCAGGTCTATATGGGCCTAAACTGGAGTGCCCAGTCTTCTGAAGCTTTTGCTTCCTTGAGGAGCTAGTTCAGCTGCATCAGGCTGTCCACAGTCGGCTGTCCTGACACGTGCAACGAGGTGCCAGCAGCCAAGTTTGGCCGTGTCTGGCCAACAACCCAATGTAGGCATCCTCCGACGGATCGTATAGTTCCGCCAGCTCTGAAGCCAAGAGCGGTGCATTGGGCGTTGAAGACCTCCACTTGGGGATAGGTGTGACATTGGTGGCCTTGATCAACTTCTGACAGCCAAATGGAGCCGTCGGGCTTCTGGCGGATCTGCTTGCCACCATTTTCCAACACCTCATCTGTCCTGCTGTGAGCCCATGCGCCGAAGTCGAAGGTGTTCCGGATCTGGTCCAGACTCTCATCAGCGCCTGGCTCTCCAGCGCCAAGCAAATCATCCGCGTGAGCTCCCAGGGCCAGGATCAAGCGCTCGTCCTTGTAGTAGAAAAACATGGCCCTGTCCAAGGTGCTCTGGCGGAAGCCCATCTTGAGGAGGGAGTCACGAAGGTGCCTCCAAAACAAACGTGGTGAGTTAGCCAACCCAAAAATGCCACGTACCACCAGCGTCAACTGCTTGGGGTGTACACCAGGAAGGCCTTCGCGAGGGGGTCGAAGATATAGTGCTTCTTTCCGGGCCGCCATGCTCTGATCCCCTTGGAGAAAGGCTCCGGTGATGTCGCTGTTGAAGAGGAACCAGCCTGGTGAAGAGGCTGCGATTTGCAGCAGGCAGAACATCCCTGCTCGACTCATAGTGGGCGCATCACGTCGTCAGGTCTGGGTCTTGGTCTCCTCGGCAAACCAGTCGCGCCTTGTGCTTGACAGGCATCCATGGGTATGCTGCATTCTTGTTGCGGTAGCAGACTCTGGTTTGGAGGATCCTTGATTTGATGGACTCACCAGGGCTTCAACTGCTCTCGAAGCCTCGATGTCAAGCAAGACCACGGCGCCGTAGCGGATCCATGTGGATGATTCCTTTATCAGCGCCTCGCGGTAGCCCTCACGCCACTCGTCGGGGGTGAGGTGGAAGGGAATCTCGATCCTTCTCGAGCTGCTTGAGCTCCTTGCGAGTGGTCAATGCTGTGCGGAAGGCCGGGCAGGAGCAGCAGAAAGACGATTCACGGAAGCCTCCTTAGGCTTCCGTTGAGTAGCTCTTTGAAGCATGATCACATCACTACCGACTTGCGCCGCACCAAATGCCCCAGACACGCTGGCCGGAGGCGTACCACGCACAAGCCAAGGTTGCTTACGGGATTGAGGGGGACTAAGCACTTCAATCTCAGTCCACTGCGCATCAGGGGACGACCAACTCAACGGGACGCTCGTAACCCTCCATACGCCACGAACCTTGATAGTAGCACCAATCTGCAGGCGAACACCAAGGAAGTTGCCGCCACCAACCCGAAACGCAAGAGAAAGACCGGATCGCCTAGCGTCCGCCATAACTTGACTGTCATAGTCAAGAGGTGACAAATCCCCCCGGACCTTCCAATCAACATTGGACGAACAGTTTGATCCTTTTCCAATCGATCAACGAAAACCGCATTGCGACCGGACAACATCAAGAATTGGTCAACCTCAGAGGCCACAACTTTGATGTAACCCGCAAGGAAAGTCTCATCCTCGGATTTCCAATTCTTAACTTATTTTCAGACCATCCATAGGAACTATGGATCTCAAGCGAACCTTTCCAAGCATCAACCAAGCCAACAGGTCTAGATTTCATAACTTTCCAACGTTCTTCAGAAACCAAGGCCCGAGGCACAGACACCCGCAAGGTCGCCAACTCCTTCTGCACAGGAACATTGGTAACCTCATGAACAAGACCAACAGGAAGAGGCGGGATGGAACCCACATGAACCATGGCAACTTTCCGAAACTCCTTAGTCCCAACAAGACAAGGAAGCAACGCACTGCGTCCACCATCCGGCACATCCTCAGTAGGTTTCAGCAAGAAACAACAAGCAAACTGAACAGACATTTGGGAGCTTTGGCCAACTGAACAAGTTCTTCAACTTTAGCACACGAAGGAGCCAAACAAACCTGACCAGA